TTGATAAGTTTAATACATAACAACATTAAGTAAATCTGAATAGAGTAACTATAATACATTACACTTAATTAACTACCGTAATCTGATTATTCTATAATTCCGCGTTTTAAAAGTAGAAAGATAGATAAGAACTCGAGATAAACTTCTTACAGATGACAAAGTAAAAAAGAAAAAAAGAGGGGGAGGTGTGGAGAAGGAGTAAAGAAAAAAAATCTAAAACGTAAAATCGATTAAGAGCCCTTTAATATTACCATAAACCAATTTTGTGTGTGTGTGAACAACAATTTACGAAAGAAAAACAAATATTTGTGAACAATAAAGTAAGAAAACTTTATTGTTGGCAGTAGAGAAAGTTTTAAGTGGTTCATTTTTCACACAGTTTTCTGCTGCGCGCACTTTCATTACACGATCTCGGCTAGTGCTACAAGAAGCCATCGTGTAATTAGTTTAATGGCTCCTTCGCTCTCCATTTTTTTAATTCCCAGTCTTTCAACGTGAAAACATGAGATTTAGTTGTGTCATACGGCTTTGCACATATCATTCTAGATGAAAGAAATATGATCCACTTGGATCACTTGTCTCTTCGACCCGCTCACGTGATGAGACGATTTGCTTTGATCGAAATGATCGATACATACCGTACATATTTAACATATATATACATATAAATGCAATAATATATATATATTTTTTATTATATATATATGTCATTATGCAAATTGTATATAATTTTCTATCAATTATTGACGACTAGTTGATCCGAAGCGTACATATTAATAAAACAGTGTGAAAAACAGATTAGATAAGCTAGTAGTAAAATATAATGACTATAATAATAATAGTAAAATAGATATAATGCAAAGAGAGAACAAGAATCGAAATGAAACGTTATTTTTTAGATCTTTTGCTGCAGCTAATTGCTTCTAACATATATTTTTCTCTAGTGCCAACATGCATTTAATACATACTAATTTAATTCTTAGCTAATTTCGTAACTAATCACAAATAGATATTTAGAAAGTTAGAAATTACAGTAAAGACTCGATTTAACAAAAAATTTAAAACCTTTTCTTCTTCGCGTTGCTAAAAGGTTTGAACGATGGGCCAACGAGTATAAATTACTCAATTTATGTACATTATAATATTATTTTATTCATATTTACACATCATAATATCATTTTATTAACACGTGTTGCATATTTTAAATTAGTTATTAATTAACATAGGCTTCTAAAACATTCGATTTAACGGACTTTCGGCAGTAACGACGCTCCTTTCTCTCAATTAGTCTGTTAAATCGTAAATTTGCTGTATATATGTGTGTGTTTACATACAATGCACTCGAGCCCCTATCACAAAAGGGGTTAACAGATCGAGTCTACACATTTACGGAGTCCTCAAAATTATTTTTCACAAATTAGTCATTTCACTGTTTTTCTCGTGTATTAAGAAAAGAAAAAGAATCTTTATTTTTCTTTTAATCAAAGTTTATTATTTTAAAAACGAATCATGCATTAAAAAAAAATTGTTTTGTTTTCGGGGGCCCGGGTCTCTCTCGAGCTCTGAACGGTCCGAATCTATGTATTTATTGAGTGTAATATAAATGTCAAATTATAAATTTACACGTGTTTAACATAGCTTTTAATTTATGGCTTACTTGTTAGTCATTTTTTTGCCTTTATACGAATATTTATACATCGATTTTTTGAAATGAAATGTTTATCATTGTCATTAAAATCTGCAAATGTGCATTTAAGTTTTTGCCTAAGCACGAATTTGTATTTGCATTCTCGTCCCTCCTCACTGGCTAGCAATTAAGAACACAAGTGCATAGACCCTATATATATGTATAACCGAATATCGAATAACCGACAATACGAATGAGCAATTTATTTATTTTTTTGAAAATGGATAAATTTATTATATATTTTTTTCGCGAAAATGTTTAGAATGTTAATAATTTTAATGGCGAACTGTATTTTAAAGTTTCAATTATACATAACGTGAAAAAAGTCAATAAATAAAATCTGCAGGAAGTCAGCTTCGCCCTTTCCCCCTTTTTTTAATGTGTGTTTCGACAACAAATCACGTGATGGGCTGCAATTTTGAAAGAGGCACGTGCCGCGTGGCGACATTTGCAGCACGTTCGGGATTTTTTCAAAAAAATTTTTCAATTACGAATCACGTGATTTAAGTGGATGTTGAATGAAACACGTGCTTCGGCCGTAGTAGAAGAAAGGAAAAGTAACACGTGTCTAATAAAACAAGCATAATTATTTTAATATGACTCAACTTTATTTTCAATTTAAAACTTTACACTTTTACGATATTTTTGCCACCAGAGATTTTACGACGCGTTCCGTAATGGCGTAAACAGAAAGTTGAAGGGAGGGAGAAGGGGGGACAGGAAGCGCTTTGCTAATTACTACATTTTAATTATTCAGATGGCGAGTTCGATCGACCGTCTCTGTCTACGGTTAAGCTTAACTCTGTCCGTCACGGGTGTGACTGTGACTGTTTTGAAATTAATTTCTCCACAGCTTTGCAAACCAATCGAATCGTCCTCGATACTGTCTGCATGCTATCCGACTGTTAATAAGGCAGCCAGAATTCTAACTAAAAAAAATTACCGAAAAAAATCTCAACCTTTACTTTTTTATACACGCTCTTTAACCCATCTGCAATTCCAACCAAGTTGTTTTTATTAATTTTTAAAGGATCCAATCCGATAAACAAAGCCTTGTATATATATACATATACATATTTACGCAGAAAATTATCTCTGTTATCTTTATTAATAAGGCGTTAATGACATTTAAAAATTAATATATATGGTTTATTATAAACAAGAAAACTTGGTAACCTTTACAGTAAACTTAAGAGGGGTCAATAACGTTTCGCCAAATGTTTCTTTAATGTTAATTGTATCATCGCCTTTATTAAGTTTAATTAAACGTTACAACCATTACATCGTAAGTCAAAAGTGTACGTGAGATGTTATAGGTTAAAAGAATTTTGATTATTTTTTATGCGTTTTACGTGATTTAAATAATAATAATCCATTACGGAATTTGATTTCATTTTTGTCGTCTTATTTACGTCGTCATAAAGTTTTGATAATTACGTAAAGCTAAAGCGATTTTTGATATTTTTTTTAAAAATTATTANTTCATTTATAATGGTATAAAAGTTGATAAATTTGCTAGTTTGTCAGCTTGTAGATTTAAAAAATAAATAAATAAATAAATAAAATGAAGATAACTCTTAAGGTCTTGTGTAGGGAACCATAACAGATTGCCTTCTTTATTAAATTTATGCCTGCAGTATCTTCCGTGCTCTGTTAGAAGGGAAAAATCGAAACGATTCCACATCACACAGGCCTATTGTCGCAATAAAATCTTATACAATCAATGGCTTCTAAAGTACCAAAAAAAAAAGGGATTTTTCCCTATTCCAAGTAGGGAAAATTAATGTAAAAAAGTTCTATTTCTTTAAAATTTTCGTTTTGATAAGAGTTTGACAAGATTATATTCTACAATTTACAAGGCCTACTCATAGAAGCGCTACAGTAAGACGATAATGGCGTCTGACCCCCGAAATTGCGTGACAAATAAGGTTTTATAGCGTTATATTAAGTCTATATTCTATCCTTAAACGATGAAAATACAGATAAACAAGTTTTTGAGTTATTTCAGGCCACGTTTTGTGCCTATTTTAGGCCATTTAGATGATGAGAAAAGTCAGTCGTTAAGTAGAAATCGAGTTAAAGAGAATTTATTTATTAATTTCTCCTTCTTAGATTTATATAAAATTTAACTATTTGACTAGCAAAACTAGAATTGAAATCGAATATATTAATTTAAATGGGATTTTCAGAAATAAATTAATGGTGAAAGCTCTCTTCTTAATTTAATTATCAATCAAGAAAATTCGAAATAATTAGTTTGATTTACAACATTTAATAAAAGCTACTTTAATGAATTTATTGTGTACCTTTAGGAAATGTTTACAATGTTTCAACGACGAAAATACTTAGAAAGAAAAATGGGGAAGATCAAACAAAATATGCCAAAGTTATATTAACTTTTGCGCTATATAACGTTAAAAATTCCATCGTTTTCGAGCCTTTTTAAGGCCTATATATAAGGCCTAAAGGTTACTTCTAAGTATATAAATTTAGGCCTTAGAAATTATATATTTTTCCCAAAAATTCTCATAAAAATCGAACGTTTTGTCGTTAACAATGGGACAAAACTTGGATTATATTTCCCCTGCGGAATTTAAACGTTTTAACTGATTTTAGACAATAACTACTTTGTTCCATAATGTGTTTTTACTTTAACGGGTTTAAATTAGTTTAACACATTATCTTTAATTAGTTTAAGAGGTTCTAATCAATTAGTATTGTTAGAAACTGCAGGATACCTTTAAGCATATAATAGAAACAGGAGTGTTCTAGAATTCTTGGAAGTTTTCTCTACTCCTGTGTGTTTTGCGGCTTTATAAACTTACACGGTTCATTTGTATCATCTGCGATAGTTTAATACGTGCTTTATTATCTCTTAAGTAGGCCTAGATGATAAATAACCACAGATGTTGTTAAACTTTCGAACGTTATGGCTTTATTCTGAAGCTAAAAACCATGAATCACCCAACTGCATGAGGTTAGAATGAGGGAGAAAGAAGCAAAATCGATTGTCTGACTTTAAATGAAACACGTTTTATGTCCCTACTCAACAAGTGATTTCCTAGTTGTGTTTTAATCGTTTCTCATGTAGAAACAAAGCTTTAAATTCTAAAAAAAACTGTGCCTTTAAAGTTTAAAATAAAAAAAGAATGGGTAGAACGTGTTTGAGAAGTTAAATTGCCCTTTGTACAGTTTGGCCCGTTCGATGGAGTATACAAAAATGGAGATGGAAGTTAAGTTAATCCTCGTTATGTATCGTTAATGTTGAGGTGTAGAAGTGTTAAAAAATCGATAAAAATTTCTATTGCCTTACCTATTTTTAGCAGCAGCCGCTCTGTCCCGTTGCCTTCTATTCTTAAACCAGTTACCGACTTGAGTTGGTGTAAGTCCAGTGGCCTGAGCTAGTTCTCTTTTTTTAGTCGGGTTTGGATAAGGGTCCTGAAGATACCATTCGCGTAGCAAACTCCTCGTTCTCTCCTTAAAACAATGAGTCTTCTGTTCTCCGTCCCAAATGGTTCTGGGTAGTGGATATTTCTTCCGTACCCTATACTTGTCGACCGGTCCCAGGGGCCTCCCTCTAAGTTTTTCGGCCTCTTGATAGTGGGCCTCTAGCCACATGGCCTGTAGCTTGGCATGCGAGGCCTTGGTGAATCGGTGGTTTTCCAAAATGTGATAAAGTTCTCGAAAATTTCCGGTGTGGAATGCCACCAACGCTCTGGCACGCAGTACGCTTTCGTTCTTGTTAAGTTCTGCACAGTTCGGATGTGCCACCGGTAGAGACCATAGGAATCTACCCAACCTCTCGATGTCACCACTTTCCTCTAAAGTCTCACAAACGGCGGCCACTTGGTTAACGGTAAAATTCAGGGTGGGCAAGACGAACATGGGATTGTAAGTGGGAATGCTTACGGTAGCGGGACCGAGTCCCAATGCCATGGTCCCCACACACAATGGGTATCTTTGGTCACAGACAATCAGGCGAAGACGTGTAGGTAGCCAGCTCTGCTTCTGATACTGCACTAGCTAGTCCAGATCTCTCATGCTCTGTGGTAAGTGAGGCGATTCCTGATCTGCTTTTACGAGCGCGCCATAAACTCTACAACACCATTAGCGCTTAAACACTTTGGGCGGAGCACAGTCAGTCACCAGTGTATACGGATAGGGTGTCACTGTGTATCATCAGTCCCACACGTCACACCCGCCACTCCTTGTAACCCGAGCTGATTTGCTGCGGTGTACGTCTCCTTCGATTGGACGGGATGACTGTATGTTGCCATGGAGACCACGCCAATCAACGTCACGTGTACCGGAGATGCATAATGGAGAAGTGCAGTGTACACGAACCATTGGCGTATAGATGGCGAGCTCGCTACACTCACCGCTTTCTACACTAGCGGCACAGAATGACGAGAAGGTTAGTTAGATAATAGTGGAGCGCGTCACGTGCACTCTGACGTCACCGCCTTCACCTGTACGGGCTGCGACGTCGGGCCAGCTGCCAGCGGTCCAGTCCCTTTGGGAAGTGCTATGCTGGCTTTCTCTAGAGGCCTAAGTGATACATACGAAGCGTAACTCCGGCCTCTTATTTACATTTCTGTCCCGGATATGTTTAACTAGGCTCGTTTCTAGTTAGCATTCGACTCCCAACACGTCACTGCTTATTTTAATAAGAGTTTCGACCATCGCTTTTCTTAAATACATTCGCGCCAACTTCGGCGTAACAGCAAAGATCAATTGCTTAACTTACATAAATATAGTGTACACGTTAAAAACTATACTAACCCACCCCTAACTTTTTACAGGATTGATCAACATTACATTTAAAAACTGCGTTATATCCATAAATACGTTCTCTACTAAGCATATAACATTCATTTATATACGATTTAACGTATAAATTAATATAATATCTACGTAGAAAAACCTCCTCCATCACCTTATAAATACAATAAGGCGAAAACGTGTCGCCATCTATCTGCGGTTATATCAGGAACATTTATTATTTATCCATCAATTCTCATCACCTCTATACAAAGAATCGCGGCTGATTTTAATAAAATTATTACGAATTTATTTAATTTTTTTTTACGACGTAGAATTCATCAAAAATTCCACCCTCAACTGCCATATTTAACCCATTCAATAGATTAATAAACCAGTTTAATATTCAATTTAGCAATACTTAAATTAAACGGTATCTAAAAAAGATTCGTAGTTATTATAAAAATAAAGATTTTTTCATTAAAAGAAAAATTACTCCTAACCAATAATAGAAAACCTCTTAAATTTGCAGAGAAAATAATGAAATTGTTTTTTTTTTTGTTAAAAAATAGAGAGAGAAAATTTAAATAAATTCCCTTCGAATGTCGCCATTTTAAATATATATCAGCATCCAAATAATATATAAAATTGATAATATTTTTAATAAAAAATAATATTACTTAAATGAGAAATTATTTACTTTCTTTATTAATGAAGTAGTAAAATTTCAACGTAACGTAAAAATCTTCATTGATAAAGAACGTGAAATAGAAATAAATAAATAAAAAGTATACACGTGTTGCTTATTGTTACACGTGATAAGTGAAATGGATTAATTTCACGCGTTATTTAATGAAAACTCACTTGGTGGCGCGCGCGCGTTTAAATCACGTGGAATTTTGATTGTTGAAATTGAAAACGAGCACGTGCTATTATAAACTACATTATTACGTAATAATACCAAAACTATTTTTGATATTATTACGTAATAATACCAAAAAAATGATTGATAATTAAATTTTTATTGTTTTAAATAATAAAAAATTGTTATTTTTTTTTCAATTATTTTGTTGAAATAACATTTTTAATAAGCTGTAAACAAATATTACACGTGTTGTGATTGGTCAACAGAAAATTTTCGGTGATTTTTATCGATTCTTCTGGAATTTTTTTTTTTTTTTGTTCAATTGAAATAACAAAATGATTTTTCAATTTTGTAAATGATTGGATGAATTTAAAAGGCAATAATATACGATTTCTTCTACATATTTAAATTAATATTTCCATAGTACAATGAAAAACTTATTAACTATATCAAATTTTATACTAATTACTGTATGATTTTATAGATAATTTGTTAATATTTATTAAATGCGGATTATTATCTTTATTAACATGAAATTTCTTTATAATCTGCTTCATATTTAAATACTAAGTTGAAAAAATGGTTATAATAAGTGTGTAATTATGAAAATACATTAATAATTATAGAAAACCGATTGTTAAAGAGAATAACTGAGATGTCATTTTTCCAGATCTTTCCAATCAATAAATGAATCCTCTAGAGGTTTGTTAAGGATGAATTCGAAGAGTATTTAAGAATGAAAGGTAATATATGAATATATATATAGGGATATTTCAATAAAATGTAAATAAAGATTTAACATAAAGAAATTTGGTTGAATATTTTAAATGATTTCGCACATATTAATTGGTACTGTATATTCCTACGAATTCAAAAGTAGTAAGTCATCGTTACCTTAAAAGGTTTGCACTCGTACCTATTTTCTGAAAAACAATTTTTCATATGAAATTTTTCTGTGTTATTTCCCATATTCACGTATGTAGATAAATCACTGTGTACCAAGAGAATTAAGTGGAAAAATTCGTGTTCACTCTCGTAAACTAATTATTAAATAAAAATATAATTTATTTAGAAAATTTATAACAAATCTATACTAAAATTTAAGCTTTAAATTGACTTACAATACGTTAACTTCTCGAAGGAAGTAGTTAGATTATTCATTATTCTGAATAAAATTACTTATTATTTTCATCAATGTTAATATATCAAACGATGTAAAATAAAATTCTAAAAATAAGATTATTATTATACATTTTTTTTTCTTCTTCTATTCTTAATCTTAATGTACGGTTATTTGAACAATAGCGCACACTAAAAAAAAATATATATTATGTGCAATATTTAATAACATATGCTAAGTTTCTCATCAAATAAAAAATTTTGTAAGATTCTTAGACATAATTAGACCTAAAATTTAGAAGAAAATGACAATAAAGATTTAATATTAACAATTTATTTAACAATATTTCATGTAGGAAAGACACAGTTTAGTCTCCTTTCTCACTCCTCTATGACTTTATTTTATTGATTCCTTTTGAAATCTTAGCATCTCCTAAATCAATATCCCTTATTCTTTTGAAAATAAACGTTTCTGATCTAAACCTTATCAGATATTTGAAGCTATACCTTCAATTTGTCATTTCGTAACGTAAATTGAATGAAGGTTATATATAAAATAAAGGAGAAAATAATAATAAAAAAAAGTCCCTCTATTTTTTTACCCATTAATTCTATTTTTTTTTTTTCGGGTTTAACTAGTTAAAAATTTAAAAATCTTTAAAAAAAAATTTCTTAAAAGCCTTTGAATCGTGCCTTTTATTAGCCTTTTGTAAGGCAGTCACGCGAGCTGTGATAAATGACGTCTCGCTTTAATAATGAAGAAGACTCGACCCTTCAACTTGGTGAAAATACATGAAAAATTTATTAATTAGTTTAATAAATAAATAAACGTTTCAATTTTCTCTTTATTTTTAATCATGTTCTTCTATATTTAATTTAATTTAACTTCATTTAATTCCGTGCTATTGATGATAAAGTGTTTTAGGTAAATATAGGCATAATTAATTGATAAAACATTCGCATCAATCCTATAATATCACTCTGTTAGGTACAACGATCGATAATTTTACTCTGACTTCTATATTTGTTACTGCTGTAGCATCTTTCAAACACTCGATTAAGTAAAATATATTCCTGTTTTCACCTCTAATTCTCCCCCCAAAACTGTTCATTGAGCCTTCCTAAAAAAGGCTAATTTGTAAAATTAAGGTGTGGAATGCATTTTTAAATGGTTTCCCGTCCAAGATTTCAATATTTCGAGCCTGAATTTGAGTAAATTAAGTTAAACAGGCAGAAACCTTCGTGTTTAACATGATACAGGATGTTAAACACGAACGTTCCTGGCTTTAGATAAGTGTTATAAATTCTATAAGAGATGTAAATTTATTAACGAATCGGGCCTTTAAATATTACTTTATATAGAGGTTTCCCACTATATAAAGTAGACTTTAAATGTATTTAATTTAGAGAAAAAAACCACTCACGAACACAGTTAAGTGAAGATGAGATAACTGGCTAATTGCATATAGATTAATCCATATAATTCCGGGATGCTTAAGATGATGGATTGAAGAATTCAATTAGTAGTTTCAATGGATCTATTCTAAAAAACACTAGCTAAAAAAAGTTTAGTTAATTTAAAACATCATCAAGGAACGTTATCTTGTTTCAGTTACTTATCTGGCAGTTGAGAGAAATTCATCAATGCATCTTTTAAGCGAGAAGGAAACCGTTAGTCATCCCTTCTCCAAGCTCCAGACGTCAAGCAGTGTAAAGTAAAGGCGCCAACCCCTAGCAGAAAGACTTATACATTGTTCTCTAAATGCTAAAAGTGTTCGTAATGACAGCTGCACAATAACATACAAATAACCAAGAGTGATTAATATCTTTTCTTAGATACTTTCTGCCATATTGGAAAGATCTTATCCATCGAGTTTCCTCTTTTACAGGAAATTCAATTGTAAGATAAATTTTAGAAGTACTAATTATTGTTTTCTTAGAAAATCGTATTGTTTTTTCGGAAATTATATGCTTGAAAGTCGGATAGATTCGGCTCCTAGTGGAAATCTGCCACGTTGTTTACATCATCTCCTAGTGTAGATTAGTATATATATTTTTTATTGTTACAGTAGCAAACAATAACGAGTCCATCAGAGATACAATGCTAGAAAGTAACAAAAAGTGGGACCATTACGAGCAGGTATTAAACACTAGCCAGGGATTAGTAAACCGGGGAAGGTGTTAGTTCCATCCAGATCCGCTATACATGCGTTACATTGGGGAGGTCAATAGGCATTGTGACCCCAGAACCAATGTTTGTTTCTTTTCACACTGGTGGGTGCCAGAGCGTGAAATACGTACAAGTTTAGACGCTAATGGAGTGGTCCTGTACTACTCGGGTATTGTTCGTGTAGGGGACATAAGCGGAGGAACGATTGAATAGAAAGCTAGGGCTAACAAAGGCACTCCATTGTAGATCTTCAAATGTGAGATGTGGGTTCCGATTTCAGCAGTGACTGTCAATAGAAGTGCCCACTAGATACGGCATCTTCGAATAGAAGGTATCATGTAATTACTGCGGAGTGTGAGACATATCGCCTTGTATCTGCTGTAATTGTTAGGGACATTGAGCCCTACGCTGCTTTTCATGTTTTTTCGACGTTTAGGAAAGATTTTGTGA